ACCAGTATGTTTCTTCACCAAGCAGAGATGCCAGTCCCGGCACTGCCTCATCCCCAGCATGGAGCTTAACATCTCAGATAGCTGTATCTGAGCTGGCTTGCTGAAAGCTATTGATTTTAAGAGGAACTTTCCTCTATTTCTCCATGTTACATTAGTGCAGTTTTTCATATGTGATCACTAGTTTGAAGACCCACAATGTCTGTGACAAGTCACGAGCAGTTGCTGTCTTCATCTTTAAATAACTTCCTTCAGCATCCTTTCTCAATTGCAGCAGCTTCTTGTCCACAGATACTAACTGTTAAACTAATTGCAGAACATAAATACGAACATTGGTCAATCCTGTATTGACTCTCAGGTTGGCTCTTCTTTTCGGCAGGCAGTGTGTGTCTATGTTTAAGATGAGCATTTAATCGCTAACTCCAGAGGAAGATGGTTTCATTTGTGGGAGACAGAGACACACTCAGACAAATGGCTTTGGTTATTGGCAGTGACTTATGGTAATAGACTGATATTTATCACACATACTTGTTGAACAAAGAGATTGTGTTATGGTAACACAGTAATGGTTTCCTTAAGTGGCAATGGATTTATGTACAGGTTTTATATCTATTTGAGAGACAGCTACGTTTATGCGTATGAAATTGGTGCTCCGATTTATATTTTCATTTTTAGATAATATTGAAGGGAGAAAGGGAGGGGGAGTTGTTATAGATATTTAATAAATTAATTTGGGGACTGATTCTGTAAATTCCATCTGTTTTGCAAAGAAAATGAAATGATTCATAGGCATAGCAAGACGTGGCCCTCCAAGGCAGACTGAGAAAGGCACACTGAGCGACTTCCCCCTTGCAGCACAAAAACCAGGGTGCCAACATGCAGATGGCTGCATCGTGCCCAAATCTGTACCAGAGGCACATAGGCTGGGTGTGCTTCTCCTTCCCACATTTTTTTTAGCAGTGCTCTGGCCCTGGAATGATACAGGAATAACAGTGTTTGCATTTCTGTCCTTCACATTTTATTAGATACAATTTCTATATTAAGAAATAAAAATGTTCTTAGGTAAGAGAGTATAGAGAGATGAATACAGAGCATGAAATACTTTATACTCGGTCCTTTCCATGAGCCACAAGAAGCTTATAAGCTAGTATAGAATTGTTAAGGTTGGAAGGGACCTCTAGGGATCATCTAGTCCAACCCCTGCACACGCAGGGTCACCTAGAGCACGTGGCACAGGACTGCGTCCAAGCGGGTTTGGAAGATCTCCAGAGAAGGAGACTCCACAACCTCTCTGGGCAGCCTGTTCCTCTGCTCTGGCACCCTCACTATCAAGAAATTCAGCATGTCCTTATAGATTTCACAATGGGCTGAAAAAATAAACATGATGATAGATGCTAGCTTTTTTCTTTTTTGTTATCATTTTTTCATTAAGTCAGTGTCCATTTTAAATACATGCACTTGCATAGAAAGTTTTAATAAATGTTTGATATTTAATTCTACCATTATGCTTCTTAATTCACATTTTCTTATTAGTACTCTAAGTGCCTGGGGTAGACTTCATTTGATGAAAGCTTCCAGAGCACAATATATATTGAAAATTATTATTTAATATCATGAATTTACTTTTCCTGTTGCTGCTCCAATCCACATTTTATCACATCATTATTTCTGGAGTCTGGGAAAGATGCTGAAGGCTCCCATCCTCAGGCAGGATAGCAACTGCATCTATCAGCCTTCATCAAGTCTTTGCACAAACTTTTAAAATCCCCCTTTTTTTCTTTTTTTTTCCTCTCCAACTCCTTTGTGTTATTACTTCTCAGCTTGCGTTTAGTGCAGTCAGCAGAAGCTGCAGTGTCCTTTAATCGTCACAGGTAGTCTCCTGGCTTCTCCTATCCTCTGCCCAGCTCACAGACCACCTGGGTGTGTTCTCCACCTCAATCACAGAGATGGGCCACATGGAAGTTGAGGCTCATCACAAAGTTTGCATTTAATAGATCTAAACCAGATCTTCCATTTTTTTCTTCCTATATACCCACACAAAAATTTTAGGGACACAGTTAATGTGATATGCACAGTTGATCCTTGTTGCCTCTATCCTTCCTCTCCCTAGGAAATCTGTAATGGAGAACTTCAAGTGGTCAATGATGTTTCTCTCCATTTTTTCCCTTTGCACTTCCCATTGGCATTCTCTAATACTTTATACCTCTATTCTTTAAAAAAAGCAATCCACAATTTAAAAGAAAGGAGATGGTTTTATTGGTCAGTATCTTTTATTTCTAATAGTACCTTAGAATGATTGAGATGAACTACGGGAAGTTATTCAAGAATGAATTCTAACTTCACATCTTTAGCTCATTTCTTTTTTCTTTATGCAATACAAGCTAATAGCTCGTATAAGATACTGGCAAGAGAACAACTTTGTCTTTCTGCAGCATAATTGAAGCACTTTACATAGAAGGTCACTGAAGAATTAAGAAGCTCTGTTCGCACATATTGCATTCCATATTGTTGTATTTTACAAAATGGTCTTTAAAATCTTATGAACTGAGTAATCACTCTGTACCCCGGGATTCTTGGAAAACTGCTTTCAGAAGTCCTCACATTCAAGCCTTCCAGGCTCTCTACAAATTAGCTGTCTTAATGATTCATGATTCCTCTAAAACGAGCCCAAATGTTACAATGGGAACATTTTGTCAAGAGTGAAATAAACAATTTGCAAACATTTGGGCATTTAATAAGTCCTGGATCCTTTCCAAGAAATGGACTCTGTTATGGGATTGCAGCAGATTCACTGTTGTCTCCCCGGCATTATTTTCCATGCTTTGCACTTGTGTGTTTTGATTGAGAAGGGATTTCTGTGCAGACCCCCGGGGAAGGCAGAAGGCACCTGGATTCTGCAGGAAGGCTGGATGTGGGAAGGAGAGCAGAAGAGCCAGGCTGCTCGTGTGATTTTTTCAGATAATGTAAGAGATGGTTCGTCAGAGCGTGTGAGCAAATGCCAGGAAGGGCTCCAGCACTTAGAATGCATAGAAATGGTGAAATTTAAAGTGATGTTAAAGTGAAGCAAGAATCATTTAGGATGGCTGTTCCCGATGGACAGTAGCCAAGGGAGGTTGGAGTTGCCAAATTTGAGTTCTGGCCCAGAGGAAAGAGAAGCAAAATTGGTCTTAGCCATAGCACTCGCTATGCTAATATTGATCTTTGCACATAGCACTGCACACTTCTATGATTTTTCACTTGAGTTCTGCAGGAACCACATTAACCCCAGATTGGAGAATTCCAGCACAGCTCTCACACTTGAAAAGTTCATCTGTCCTGAAGGAATATAGCATCCCTTGTCTCTCTAGGGAAGTAATGTCAAACACTTTTCACATAACTTTGCTGTGAAATCTCCTTCAGCCGAGGACACTTTCAGTTATTCGCTGCGTAGGCGTGCAACATCTAAGTGAGAGTAACTTCATGTTCTTAACTGGAAATTGCACTGCAATGCCTTTTCTTTTCTTGAAGCAATTAAACAATTTTGATTCCATTTGGATACTGGAAATACAAAAGGCGGCACAGATTTTCCTTATGAGTGAATACATCTCTTCTTAGAGCAGAGGGTGATTTCTCCCAGTGAAGGGAAGCAGCCTTCCACCAAAGAGCAGCAGGGAAGACTTTCCCTTCCTCTTTCTGAGCCCCACTGTCCTTTCATCACGGGACATTTGCCCAAACATGGGGCTAATGAAGAGTTAGGCTAGAGATTTGGCCACAGTGTGGAGTCCCAATAGTGAGGAAATGCAGAGGTTTTAATACACTTCTACAAAACCATTTTGTTGGTGCGTAATAGCTTTACAGAACATTTAAATATTTCTGTTCTCATTTTTGTCCTTACTGCTGCACTCTTCCCTTGTCATCTTTCATGTTAGCAGGGTGCTTCTATACTGACATTTACCTTTAGGTTGAAAGTCGGAGCTTCTCTGCAGGAGGTGATGCCTATTCCCCTTTATTCCCAATGTCAGATTCATTGTTGCTGTGTTCTTTTTAATTGCAAATGTTGAGTGCCCAGCTCTATTTCCTCAGTCAGCAG